TGTGTGTGTGTGTGTGTGTGTGTGTCATACTGCAGGCATTTTGTAAGTAACTAGCAAGGTAAATTTTCTAGTATTGTTTTATGCACAGTGGACTTGAGCAGTGTTTCCATTGTAACTATTTGGCCCAGCATTTTGCAATTACACCATATCATATACGTGGAAAACACTTATAAAAGCCATGTACTAACTCAGTGAACCTTTCAAATCAGAATGCTACATGGTAAAAAAAACCACAGACCACAGATTGGTGGAAACAAATGTAGGTGTTTACCATCCTGGGTCATCTCGTATCTGTTCCTTCAGGATTCTTTTACATTGTTTTGATTTTCTTTTGTGTTCTTGTTCAGACAAGTGTTTGAGGCATATGAAACAAGAGTACTGGGCTGCAGTCAGCAGTCATTTCCGTTGCCCGGATCATTGTTGTGGGTGGCTTCTTGGGAGTTTTGAATCAACATCACAGTTGGTTTTGTGTGCCACAAGAGTTGTGGTGTTGTACTTCTTTATGTCAACCGTTGCAACCTTGTTCTTGCTCTCGCCAGAGCCAGATGACAATGTTATCTGAAGATAAGAGTTGTTAAATTAATCAGAAGGATATGGCTTTAGCATGCCGTTCCCAGTTTCAGGTTGAGCCAGAATTTACTTTTGGCTTCAGTTTTCAGACGGGAGAGTGCTTGTTCCATCGAAGGGTTTTGTTTTTACATCTGCGACTGACTTGAGTGTTATAATAAGGGGAGAGGGGTGTAGAGTGGACAATTTAGATAGTGTTTAATTTGGTTTTTCCTAATCTTTGATGCTAAACCACACACACACATCACAGGATAACTGTATAAAGGCTCTTTATTTCTATTTTCATGCAGTATTTTCCTTTATGTTTCAAGGAAAAAATACATTCAATTACAGGGACATTTCTGGGTCTCAGATTTTGATGAAGTTATCTGTATTCCTAGGCTATAGACAAACCGGGAATTGTTTTTCCAGCCCAGAAATGTCTTGATGATTCCAAATCTTTCTTTTCCATGTGCTTTCGCAGCTGGGTGACACGGGCCGGTACACCTGCACCGCATCGACCCCAAGTGGTGAGGCCACATGGAGCGCTTACATCGAAGTCCAGGGTAAATGCGTACATTTGTCTTAAAGCTTTTTTTTTTTTTTGACAATCAAAGCCAATGTCCTGGGCCACAGGAAGACAAGTTAATGTATTACCTGCGTTCGTCTGCCAATTTGTGTATGTATAAATGATTTTCCTCCTTCCACTCTTGTTAGAATTTGGAGTTCCAGTTCAACCTCCAAGACCCACCGACCCCAATTTAATCCCCAGTGCCCCCTCAAAGCCCGAAGTGACAGATGTCAGCAAAAACACGGTAACTTTATTGTGGCAGCCAAACTTGAACTCAGGAGCAACCCCAACGTCTTATATTATAGAAGCCTTCAGGTAGGGTGAGAGGGACTTGCAAGTTTCCTTTTTTGTTTTTTGTTTTTTCAATCCAGTGTCCTTGTTCTAACAAATGTATCTACCCTTAGCCATGCATCTGGCAGCAGCTGGCAGACTGTGGCAGAAAATGTGAAAACAGAAACATTTGCCATCAAGGGACTCAAACCTAATGCCATTTACCTCTTCCTGGTGAGGGCGGCTAATGCATATGGTATTAGTGATCCAAGCCAAATATCCGATCCAGTGAAAACGCAAGGTAAATATCGATTGACTGAAGCCTGAGACACCTACTGGTCCTTAGATGTTATCATTAGAGTGGCATGATGTGTGTGTTGCATGCTAAGGTAGCACATTTGCAAACTTTTTTTTTTTTATTTTACTGCGCAACTCAAACTATACTTTTCTCAATTAAGAAGATCAAGACTGATAACACACAGAATTGCTCCTCCTCGGATTACAAATCCACTAAAAATACCCGTGATTCTATTTGGATATTCTTTTCAATTCTGTGAATTTTAAGCCCCAGCATCTTAAACCTATCACCATTGTATTCAAAACTGAGTAACCCTGTTGGGCACCAACATTCAGTTCACATAACCTCCCAGATAATTCTGCAGAATTCCCACCCGAGTTAACTCATGTCATGTGAAAAATCACCCAGAGGTAGGCGACCATTTGAAACTTTGTCTTCGTGCCTCTGCGTAATCAACAATCCTAGAAACCATGGAAGAAATGCTTTGGGCTTTTAGTTGTTTTCATCTCTCATCTTTACTGTGTGAGGCATGATATGAAACTTGTAAGTGGGAAATAATGTATATTTTGATGAAAGTTGGGTGGAAATGAGAGCTCAAAACCAAAACTATTTAAAGCTCACTACCACATGGAAATCAGAAGTATTACTCACTGGGATGTCCCTTTCAATGTAAGTTCCTTTGCATCTTTCATAGATTGAAATTTTCATCTTTTGACAGATCATATTTCCTGTCTACCCTCTTACTCTTTCTATTATTTCAATATTGTCCTAGAAGGAAAATATTATTTTAGTATTCTCACTGAAAGAAAAGTTATACATACTGGAATGTAGCTTTAACTTTTCTTTAAACCTAATATCATTATAATTAAAATACACTTGTTTTTATCTTAGCAAAAGTGATTCTAGAGTTGATTAGAAATGTACAATTGTTTCCCCACACATAAACGCATGAACTCCAGTTAACGTTTCCAAAGAAAAAAAGCATGAACTAGTCATAATGAGAGAAACAAGCTACACACAAAGCACCTAAAAGGCTTGTTTAAAGACTGTTTAAAGAGTTGTAACAGTTTTCTTGTTGGTATGGGAGAGCAGATGGCAGCAGTGCTTCATACGCTCCTAGAGGTCATCTAAACAGTCATTTGGGGAGAACATTTTGCTTTTGAAATCACCGAGAAAGTAAAGCGTTACAGAACACGCCCATGTCTGTTCCTTGCTTATTGAATTCAACACACCCAGATGCCTTTATTTGCTAGTGTGAGTCACCTACTCAGGAGCCTTAATAGATTTGGAGCTTGCCTTGAGGCAGTGTGAGGTTTGCCATATCAGATATGCATTTGTAAAGAATGTAGAAACTATAGCAGCTTCTAACTGAATTTAAACTTCCTCCTCAAGTAGAAGTGTCTACCTATCTATGCTCCGGTCTCTATCCAGTGGAATCTAAATGCAAGTGTTGATGACTGACTTAATACTCTTCCTCTATACTCGTGGGAATGGTTTGGGGGCATCCTCATTTGTAAATGACAATATTGTTCATATGTTTTATGAAGATCATTTTCCCATTCATTTGTGCTAAAACAGCCTCTTTCAGATTCATAGTTGGTAAAACAGTATAAGAAAATAAATCTGTGTCAACCAGGAGACTGACTATCTAGAGAAATATACATACCACTTTGAATTAAAGGATAGTTTCCTGTCATCTCCTCAGTCTAGCTGTGTGTTGCTTAGCAAGTTGATCAGTCCTAAATGTCATATCTCCTTGAGCATAAAATGAGGATAGCTAAACTCACTTCCCTAGACTTGACAAGGATTATTACTAATTATTAATAATGGATGCAAGAGTTTTTCTAAGTCATAGCAAACATGTGTTTCTTTTAATGTCTAAACTAAGAATAAAGAAGGTTCACAGAAAATTCAGCTATCATAACACTACAAAAAGTAGCAAGTGAAGCCAAATGAGAGGATCAATTAAATATATCTTGACAGCTTGGAATGATGAGCCAGCACTAACAAGATTAAAATTAATAGAGCAAATTAAAAAATCTGGTACTTGAATTATGGTTTGAAAAATTAGCTATAAAAGGCTGGAATGGGTGGACTGGCTTAAGGAGGGAGGTGTTCGTCTGGGTTCAGTGAAGTGCGCAGACTCCAGTTGAAACCAACTCTAAGATCTGCGTTCACTGAATGATGTACTTGCCAGATGAACAAAGTTCATCCTTACTGGGATTTCCAGAAATATGTCAGAATCAAGTCATCGCTCCCTTGTATTTTGAACTGGTCAGATCATGAATTGTGTAATTCACTGGATGTAAGCACTACATATGCAGGTTGACTCTTAAAATTTTTCATTTTATTTTAGTTGGAACTGGACTGTGGATCAAACCCAGGGTCTCATATTCACAAGATAGTACCTTACCACAGAGCTCTACCCGTAGCCTTAACTCCTTAGTCTTCTAAGAGGAAATCTGTGACAATACTTGGTGAATGGATTGCTGAAAAATCATTCCTAATAAAAGAAATTCAAGAATCTTGATTCCTAAGCCAAAACAACCAAAACCACATAAAGACTATGTGATCCCTTACCTGACAGTGATATAGAAGACAGGCCTCCCTCACTTCAGACAACAGAAAAGGACCAATCAGGAGAAGTAACTAAGGCACAGTTTATTGTTTAGATCTCGGACCTGGCAATGAACCTGGGAACATTTGGTTCTGCAAGAAATGTCAGCCGTGTGGCTGCCAGATAGGGTTTGTGTGGGTTTTGTCAGAATGAAATGCCATTCTGACTCCAGAGGCCCTGTCCTTGAGCAATTCTTGAGCCTTAACTTTTAATGGAAATTGACACGTATATAGAATATTGCAGTATGCACATAAGATTCATCAGAAAATACCAGTATGGGCCTGAGGAGAAAGAGCAATCAGAGTGTGCCACTCAAGCTTGAGGACCTAAGCCCAATCCTTGGCATCCGTGCGAAAACTCAGACAAGTAGTAGAGGTCTTGCCTAATACGAATAAGGCCCTAGGACGGTAATGGGAGGGTGCTATCTTCCCCAAGTCACGTGAGCTTTGGTGGCCCTGGGGAAGGTGCTTATACGGATCCAGATCTTGTTTCTGTTTTCCTGTTCCATCTTCTTTCCTCTCTCTGCTGAAGGCAGAGCAGCAATGGAGGGAACAGAGAGAAAAGATGATGTGCCTGAGATGGCCTAGTAACAGCCAAGTGTTTTCTCTCTGGCATTGTCTGCACGCTGTAAGTCAACATTAGGATGGCAGTAGGGGGAAATCGGAAAAGGGTGGGCTCAGGAGTTATCCTGGTCCTGGCGTAGTTATTTTTATCATCTTGCTCATTTATTTATTTTTGGTTTTGTTCTGTTTTGTTTTGTTTGTTCACAAAAGGGACTCATTTCGAAGCTTTGGCTATCCTGAACTCACAGAGATCCACCTGTGTCTGCCTTCCAAGTGCTGGGATTAAAGGCATCTGCCACCATGCCTGGCCGTTTTCCTTATTTATAAACTTAATTTTTAGGTGGGGCATGCAGACAGCCAGGTGGCACAAATGTTTAATAGTGGTTGACATGTCTGTCCTAGTTTTCCTTCATCTTGGTTCTCTGGACTCCACAAATCTCATTTAAATATTGGTGGTTTTGCTTCCTGAGACAGGGATATTTGATCATTTAGCAAACTTTGACTTTTGTTTTTTGGTTTTGTTGTTATTGGTTTTTTTTTTAAGTTGTAACACATCTAAAATGCATCTGTCAAATATAATAATCTATTAGTAGTTCCATATCCCTTTCAAATCTTAATTCTTTTTTGTTCTTTACACTGCATTTTCTTTTGCTACTTGAAACAAAAACACATTCATACATAAGGAGGCCTCTTTAGCAGTAGGCAGCTTTTGCTGAGTATAGAGTTTAATAAATTTAATAATTCCATTCCCCCCCAAAATAGTACAACATAAAGAACTCTATTGGCTGTTCATGTCTTGCTGTGTCGCCCGTGTCTTCTGGAACATTTTAGTATTCATGAGACTGCAAACACACTATTAAATCTCACATACAGTATAGTAAACTATTCATTGTCAATGAAAATGATGGTAAGCGTGCTTATCTCGCTTCTAACCAGACTTGCTATATCCGACCTTCACCTTAGCGTCCGTGACTTTCCCTGTGCAGCGGTTCCTTGCCATCCACCTTAGTTGGGAAGATACCCAGGTTTCTCCTCAGAGATGTGTGGCTCAGCTGCTTTCCACGCTCAGTTTCCCCTCAGTGTTTGCAAGCTTTTCATTCCCCATAGGCTCAGCTGCAATTCGCTGTCCCTTTCTTCCTTGTATAGTTAGGATCCGTCTAGAGGGCTGAATCAAACCCAGAGTCAGCCCAGTGCCCTAAGGCTCAGCAGTACAATGATCATTACATGGTATGAAGCTCCCTTAAAAATTACTGTTTGCCACTGTTATCTTTGCCTCTTGCCCTTCTCGGGTTTCCTGCATGTTCTGTCTCTCCCCTCCCCCACTTCTGTTTCTCTTCATCTGATCCTGATGAAAAGGTTAAGCTGTTATGTGTGGAGAGATAGCTAAGAGCCCTTGCTCTTAAAGTATGAGGATGTGTGTTTGAATCCCAGCGTCCACATAAACAGGCCAACCCTGACCGCATAGTCCTGTGGTTATGGGGGATGGTCAGAGACATGAGGATCACTGATGAGTTTACTGACTGTCTGCCTAGCTCCAGGCTGAGACCCCATGTCAAGGGAATAAGGCAGAGAATGTTAAAGCAGAACACCCGATGTCCTTCCCTGGCCCTGCAAATATACGCATATGTGCGCACACACACACACACACACCTACGCACTCATGCACATGAGCACACATATGCACATGCACACATAAAAACTCTGTGCATATTTTTTTTCTGTATTCCGGCCGCCTTCACCGTTCCACTGGATCTTCTTTTCTGAGAGTTGCTATCTATGCAGTAGCATTGAATGGGGCCAGACTTGAGTTGTATGTTCTTGAATTGTTACAGATGTCCCACCAACCAGCCAAGGGGTGGACCACAAGCAGGTCCAGAGAGAACTGGGGAATGTCGTCTTGCATCTCCACAACCCTACCATCCTTTCTTCCTCCTCAGTCGAAGTGCACTGGACAGTGAGTTGTGCTAACGTTTGTATCATTTTTAATAAGCAGGGATCTCTGAGATTATCCTACATTGGAAATTTATATAGCTGTTGTTCACTTCCATACCAACGTTAATTTTATTATGCAAACCTTGTTTATTTCAGTAGGTGTGATCCATTGTTAAACAAGCTAAACAAGCCATATATGTGTATAATATATATATATATACATATATATATTATACATATATAGTATACATATGCATATATATTTGGTTTGAATCACAAAGTGTTTGAGTACAATGACATGTGACATGCGCATTGCCACATGTACTTTTTTAAAACAGAAATATTTCCAAGTAGTATTAAGGAGATTTTTAAAAATCAATTTTTATTAATTCTTTGAGAATTGTATACATCTCTACAATGTATTTTGGTTACACTTACCCCCATCCCTTCTGCTAACACTTTCCAGATCCACTCCCATCCATTCCCAACTTCATATTCTTAGGTTTTCAAAACCAAAATGGAAAAAGAACACCTTCCATAGGACGCCCACATGTCGCTTATATCATGTGCCATCAATAATGACACCTCATGTTTCTGCTGCCACATAGTATAACATAGTATGACAACACCATAGACGTTAATGGCACCTCACAGCTATGTACATTGTGGAGTCCCATGGGGTTTTGTCATACTTGTTGCGCTGTGTTTCTTTCTATTCCTTTGCAGTGAGACAGTCCAACAGTGGAACTAACTCTGTATTTATTCATCATTGTAATAGGTGGACCAACAATCTCAATATATTCAAGGGTATAAAATTCTCTACCGGCCTTCTGGAGCGAGTCATGGTGAATCGGAGTGGTTAGTTTTTGAAGTGAGGACCCCAACTAAAAACAGCGTGGTGATCCCAGATCTCAGAAAAGGCGTCAACTACGAGATTAAAGCCCGCCCATTCTTTAATGAGTTTCAAGGAGCAGACAGTGAAATCAAATTTGCCAAAACCTTAGAAGAAGGCAAGTACAACAAAGTAGGCTTCCTGCACACATGAAAGATGTTTCCTGGGCTTTTGAATTAGTGGAAGTTGTTTGAAAGTTAATGGTGACAGTCATCAATAACCTGTGTAATATTAAAATGTTTTGCTGTGGAAATGTGTTTACTTACACCAAGTATAAGAACAAAATGCTCTGGTAACTGTAAGTGACTTGCTTCAGTAGTGGCCTGCACCACATATGTGCAAATGTTAACGCTGTTACTAAAATTCATATTCAGAGATAAGATGTTCTGGATTCAATTGCTTTTTTATTCACTGAAGCTTATGTTAATAGAGGGTAGATAATGTGAGTAATATCTGGGTTTGCCCGGACTTTCCAGAGTGTGCATTTTCTCCTAATGCCTCATGCTAGGAAACCCCTTAGTTCTTGGCAAACCAGTATTTCCACCCTATAACTGAAAACTAAAAAACAGTGTTCACATAAGTATAGAGCGTTTCATGTCATAGTACACTTTAAAACAAACCAACCAACAAACAAACAAAAAAAATCAGAATTTTCTCTAATTGTAACTTACTCTATACATGATAGGCTATAATTAAGTGTATAAAAAAAGATTGCCATTCTTTCTCCTTAATTTTGTAGATTTTTATGGAGAAAATATGAGATTCAGGTGACGGGCTAAACAGAACAGATATTTTCCTAAGGGTGTTTTTACTTTTTAATTACTGGTGTGCATATGTGTGCATGTGTGTAGGTGTATGTTGTCATAGTGAAGGCACAGAGAGAATATTATTTTCCTTCCACCTTAGGATCCAGGGACATAACTCAGATGGTCTGGCTTGCCCGGGCAACACATTTGCTTGCATATCCACCTCACTGCCGTGTGCTGAGCTGTTGTGTGCTGTGATTGTAACTGATTATGAGAAATTCACAGTATAAATGACTTAGTATTGACTTGGAAAAAACTTGTAGTTTGGAGCCCTTTAGCATTGGGTGATACCCATATTTAAAATAGGCGGCATCTGTATATTTACTGTGTGTTTTAAAATTCTGTGTGCCTTGGGTTTTATGTACTACACTCTTATAGTCTACTTTTTATAACAATTTAAATAGCACCAAGTGCCCCTCCTCGAAGTGTAACTGTATCCAAGAATGATGGAAATGGGACTGCAATTCTGGTCACTTGGCAACCACCTCCTGAAGACACACAGAATGGGATGGTCCAAGAATATAAGGTAAATACACTCAGTGAATTCACTAGCAGGCAGGCCTCACCTCTCAGAGTAGCCTGGATACATCGTCTATTGGCCTTTGTCGCCATCTGCTGGCCAAACTGCCGACATGTAGATTTATTTCCTGAATTCTATGCATAGTGATTTTGGAGTAATTGTACATACTAGAAAAACTATTTGGAAAAAACCCTAAAAGTTAAAATAAAGGCTGTAAGTGCTCTGTTAATATTTGGTGATATAATCTCATAGAAATAGATTTTTAAATGCTCATGACTTTTTTTTCCCCCAAAACATGGCTTAAATATATCACACAGAATTGAGTTACTCTAGGGAACTGGCTCTTAACATAGTCGTGTGCTGTTTAACATTGAAAAAAATTAAAAGTTTTTTTCCCTTTTGTCATCTGTAAAATGTAGGACCTTACAATTAGGTTGGGAAATTCGTTTTCCTATACAGGGAATCCTTTCTTCCCTAGATGAAGTTTTAGACTCTAAACCGAATTTCAAATCTCAGAGATTTATCTATAAATTTTGTTTGTTGTACATGTTTGAGATATGCAAAAGTTTTTCAAGTGATCTTATCTAGTGATTCCGGATAATTTTTTTCCTGTGAAGTAATAATAGCACTGCCCATTAATATGGACAGTTTTCACTAGGACTCATTCTAAGCAAATACATTCATTAAAAATAAAAATTAGAAACTTCAGATTTACTAGAAGGGTGTAAACTTAGCCTAGAAATGAATGTATGTTATAGCACAGTGATGAACTAATGTATTGAGTGTAAGTGTGTGCTTTTGAACATTTCTACAAACAAACTTTATGTTATAGTTATAGGACATATATATAAAACTATATATACACAAATATGGTATATAAATATATACTTCATATATAAATATATATTTTAAATATAATTTTAATTTATATAATAACATTTATATGTTAATTTAATTTTGTTTTTTGTTGTTTGTTTTTTTCTAGACAGGGTTTCTCTGTATAGTCCTGGCTGTCCTGGAACTCACTCTGTAGACCAGGCTGGCCTCAAACTCAGAAATCCACCTGCCTCTGCCTCTCAAGCGCTGGGATTAAAGGCGTGCACCACCACCGCCTGGCGTTAATTTAATTTATATGTAATTATATATAAATTACATGGTATTGCTTACTATCACCATTATTACTTAGTACTTAGCAGTCCTGTGATGCCCTCCATAATTTTCAGCTCATTAGCTAGCATTGTGGCATAGGTTCATATCCATCGCTAGGGTAGGCACATATGGATATGTATCTGTGAATATGAACCTGTGCTTAGGAAGGTGGACACATTTGCTGTATTCAGTGTATGCCAAACACTTTGCACTACAGACTAACATCAGAAGCACTTGAGTAGTCTAACCAGGCCCATTGTTTGTGCATTTTGGTAAATATTTGGGTAATTTGATAGATATCAAAGTAAAGCTGAACTAAGAAAGATAATTTTGTAATACATTTATTTAGTTAAGTTATTCTGTGTGTGTGTGTGTGATCACGCTCGTGCACCATGGTGAATGAGGACAAGTCGGAGGACAAATTCCCAAGACTCCATCCTTCGCCTTCATCTTGCTGGCTTGGAACATAAAGTTTTTAAATGACAAATTTGTAAAGCTGAAACTGTTGATAACTGTAATGCCAGCTCTTATATGTTAGGGACAAAAAGATCAGACACACACACACACAAGATTTAATGGAGCTGGAGGGATGGCTCCATCAGTAAAAGTGCTTACTTTTACTGATTCCCCAGAAGCCATTGGAAAAAAGGACTAGTGTCTCATGCCTGGAAGCCCAACATTAGAGAAGCCCATGGCTTGCTGACCTAAGGATGTCAAGCTTAGTTGGTGAACTCCAGATTCAGTAAGAGACACTGTATTATAAAGTACGTTGGCAAGTGACAGAAAAGACACCGATGTCAAACTCAGGCCTACACACACACACACACACACACACACACACACACACCATGCACACAAGCAAGCAAAGTATTTTTAAAGATCGCTGTAAATACATTATAGTTGTCTTAAAGCATTTCAAATAAAATTTTTATTGTAACTGGGTCATTAAAAGATAAAAATGGCCATCATTGTAAATGCTTCCTTATGCACTCTAAGTTTATTTCAGTACTAGTGTATTACATGACGCTGTGTTTCAGCCCCAGGAAACAGACTGTTGTAGAAGAGTTTGTGAAAGAGCCTAAAATTTGCTGTTGTCTTGGCTCCCAAGCAAAATTGTGTAACGTAGACATTTTCCCCCAAGAGTCAGAACTCATTTCTCTCCTTGAGAAATTTGAAAGGATGGATTTCACTTAACTTCATGGTCAATTTAAAATAATAAAATGCCTTTCAGAACCTGATTGACTGGTACAAAATCAGTTTGTGGCTTTGGTTCAGCTGTGTAATGTAATTGGTGGGAAAAATCACAAAGGAGTCTATTTCCAATGGTCAGGTCTGGATAGAGTGTCTCACCATTTGTGGGCATTATGCATTGAAACTGTATTGCAGTAATAAAAACTTTTAAAGAGAAACGTCGAATGTTATTGGGCAAGTGATCAAGGACTCTGGTCTTTCAGACTACCTGTGTGTCTGTGTTCTCAGTATAGTTTAGGTAACAGCTCAGCCTAGCTGATCCTTCCTACTGCTGGAGAAGAGGCTACTTCCTAGAACCCAGAGTATTATTCACTATTCTAGATACAATTTCTTTGTGGGAACAATAAAAATATCATCATTCCCCATGTCCAGGTGATTCAGAATTATCACTCTATGGTTAATCTTTTAATGAAATTTAAAGCAAGGCTTAGAGTGGTAATCCAAACTTCCAATCTCCTAAGCAGATAGTTTCCTATTGGATATCACTATCCAAATTCAGAACTACACAGTTACCTTTTTGTTACAAGAAATTTCTCACACCAAGTGTATATGTTATTATCCTTTTTAATCTCTTCTGCATTATGAAGCAGAAATTGTTATTTTAATTTAGATGGAAGCATGAATTGCTAATATTGTGTACTGATCACAGTTCAGCATACCATACTTTAAATAAACCCTAGGGTGACCCTTACCCCTTGGTAGTATTATATTTTCAGTATCATCCATATTTATATGGAGTATTTTAGATTATTCGTGAGCTCTTCTGTCTTGTCAGACACTATTTCTTGGTTTGGATACTCATGTGATGTGTTAGTGACACTTCAGATTAGTTTTGTCCCAGGGTATCAGGCGCAGTGCTTCCTATGCACCTTTATTTTGTGAAACCAGGTCACATGGAGTTGCCCTTGTAGTATAATTCTCAAGTGGTGGCAGATATATTACTGTGCTTTGTGAATAAATTATTATTCTTTCTGTAGAATAAATTTCTAAATTCTTCATGAAAATTTCTTGAGGTTAAAAACTAAACAGAGGTTCAGTGAACTGGGCTGACGAGAGCCTGTGAGAGACACAACCGTGTTCTAGCAAGTTGAGCAGTTTATATGATAAAATGTTTTCAAAGTAATTTACTTGTTTTATGTATTGATTCATATGTGTGCAGGTGCACACTGCGGCCACTAGAAGGACATCAAGTCCCTTAGAACTGGTGTTACAGATGTCTATGAGCTAAATTATATAGGTTTGGGGATCCAAATGACTCTGGTTCTCATGATTCCTATAATTATGTTGTAAGCCTTCTTAATTGTCTCTCCATCTCTTCCAGGCCCTATGTTATAAATTCTTACATGATTATATCTAATATAGTGGGGTAACACCTTCATAGAAGCAGGGGAAAGGGGATGGGATGGGGGTTTGCAGAGGGAAAACTGGGAAGGGGATAACATTTGAAATGTAAATAAACAAAATAACCAATAAAAAAAAGTACCTATAGAAACCTGAGGGAACTTAAGAGCTACTGCTAATATTCAATGTGACTTGAATAATCTCAGAATTAGGTGAAGGCAAACAACTTCTACAGTTTCCTATATTGAACTCTTGATAGATCCAAATTCTGTGTTAAGTCTGAAACTCATCTGTGATTTATGTTGAGATCTGGATTAACTTAGATACATTAGCAGCTTTGCTTTTATAATTCTTATAGGTTTGGTGTCTTGGTAATGAAACTAAGTATCACATAAACAAGACAGTAGATGGCTCTACTTTCTCTGTGATCATCCCCTCTCTGGTTCCCGGGATCCGGTACAGTGTGGAGGTGGCAGCAAGCACTGGGGCTGGTCCTGGGGTGAAGAGTGAGCCTCAGTTCATCCAGTTAGGTAAGAGTCACATGATCTATCATTATCCCACTTGGTCTGCTTTCCTGTTTTTATTTTGTATGCTTTATTTTGGAATGCTCAGTTATTGTTATAGGTCAGGTAAAAGCTGCAGTATGATTTATGCATTGGGGCTTTCTTTCTTTAAAACACAGATAACTATAGGGACATAGCCATGAATCATTTCCCAAGGGCAATACGTTCTGAGAAATAGATTTTTAGGTGATTTTGGTCATTGTGTGGATGACATGGCGTGCAGTTACATAAACTCACACATCTGGGACATCACTAGATGGCGAAGTCTTATGGGAACGTGGTTCTCCATGTGGTTCATCCTTGACCAAGGTGTTGGTTAATGGTGTATGGTTAATGACTGTAGATGTCTCACAACTTAGACATCAAAGTGTACATCATTGCCTTTTCAAATACCCTGCTGTCAATATTTACTCTCCTCCTAACTCTGTCTTATGGAGTGTTTATCTAATTAACAAACGCTATTAATTGAGCATCAAGGAAACTTCAGCGAAAAAGACACAGTCTTTTTACTAGTGGATTTTAGAACTGGTTGGGAAGGGAAGTAAAGCCCCTCTTTGTAGCACCTAAGCCAGGTATTGGAAATTCATATTGTGAAATCTATATTTACCTTTAACCTCTATTTAAAATTATAAACGGTTGTTCTTACAAAAGGTAAATTAAGATCTTAATTTGAAATATTTATTACTTAAAAGGTTAAATACAATTTCTGAATTAGTTTAATGAGAAAGAAAATGTGGCAAAGAAGCCTTCGTGACTACCATTCACTACAGAATGTATTTTATGTGCAGAATATACAAATTTACAGGTGATTAATAGTAAAACCTAAGGCCATAAATACTACTGTTTCCAAAAAGACAAGAGGAAATAGTTTTATCGTTAAGCAGGACACAGTAATAAGAAGTACACAGTCAACTTTATATATTAACAATCAGAAATTAACTTTGTAATTCTTCATGTCACATGTGAAGTTGTGAACAAAGTGTCCGATAACACAAGTCTACATGCTTCTCAGATACATATCATCTTAAAGTACTAACAGTATTGTCATCCTAGAGTTAAGTCAAAAATAAAATTAAGAAACACTCAGCCCAGGATATTGTTCACATCCCATTGCAAAGACTAAGCTAGCTCCTATAAGACGAACAGTTACTAAACTTCTGTGAAGTAACACAGTAAAGTATCAGAAACATGGAGTGGTTGGTGAAGATTCAGGTCCATATAAGCACTGAAAGTCCCTGGCACTGTGGGCCACAGGCTGATGAGACTGGGTCTCTACAATGAAGTTTCCAGGGTTATCCCCAGGTATCTCCAATTGTCTACCTCTATGGTAGAGCTTAAATACTTCAGGCTTAGAAAGGTGCACACTGCTCCCGCCGGTGTGATTGCCCATAAGATGATGGGGGCCACCACAGAAGGAGGTCACTGGGTCTGGAGGCAACTTCCAACTAATGGAAATCAAAATGGGACTTAGGAGATTGCCATTAAAAACTTGCTGACTCACTCACCACCATGGACTACACTGTAATAATTTTTTAAGTTATCTTTTCCATATAGCAACTTTGTAAGTAATTATTGCATGCTTATCCTTTTAGACAAAAATAGCTTCTTGGTTTATTTCAAGCAGTACAGGGAACTAAAAAAAAATTGCCTAATGCATCTGTAAAAATTTTATAACACATATAGGAACAAATATAAGTTGACACACACAAACACACATTCATCCACTTTTGGTCAATGGCAATATCTATTTTTTAGCATTGTAAGTTACTTTGCCATGATCCCATTGGCACTGTTGGCTTTTATAGCACACTGCCTTTTCGTTCTATCATTTTGGAAGATGAATTGGCAAAAGAGACTATGAGTAATTTTATTAAATTTTTTATCAAAATATATTTAAGAGTCAAATTGGTTTTTTTTTAATTATAAATGGGTTCCAGTTTCTCATATTTTCAGATAGCCTCAGCTGCAATGAGAGGAAGCCTGAGATACTGCGCGGCCATTTTAATTCATTAGTCACACTACACTTTATTCTGTTAGCCCGTCTGGTGACTTTCGTTGGAACCTCCCATGCCTGTTTCTATAAAATCTAAAGTACCCAACTTACCCTTGCACAAACAGCCATGAAATCCATAAACCTAGCAAATACAAAGGATGAATTAAGAATGAAAAGAATAGGTCTGCCTGGTGAACGTTGAAAGGATGAAATACTCTTAGGCCAACCAGAGATAAAAGGGTCTGGGACAGGAAATAACACTTTCAGTCAACAAACAGTTGAAAACAGTTGACTGCATGTCAAGATGGAGTTTTTCAGCCTTGACCCTCTGTAGGATGAAGTTAGCAGTTTTGGTCAAGGAAAAGGTGCCTGTTGCACACACACACACACACACCACACACATGTGTGCACATGTACATAGGAACACATGCACACATGTACACGTGTACACACGCACTCACGCACACATATGTGCACACATATGCACTCACATATGCATATTAACACATGCACACACATATGCACACACATGCACACACAGAGCATGAAGAGGTATTTAGACATTTCACATGGAGAGAAGTACTGTATTCCTTAGGCAATCTCAGTACACTGAGACTCATGAAAGCCACTCATTTTTCCTACCAGTTGTCTTGTCGAGAGGCAGTATCATTTGATAAACCAAAAGCAGTATTTAAGTTAAGAAATGTGATATATGTAGAATTGGTTGTGTCAACCATTTTTCCAGGAAAAAAAATATGCTTAGGAACTCTCAAATTCTGCTCTTGCAGTACAGATTGTATTAGCATAAATTCTCTAAGTCTCTGATTTGGGTTTGAGTACTCTTTTCTATGGAGTGACTCTAAACCAGCCCTCCCTTGCAGGGATCCAACCATCTAGTTGTGGGTATTTATATGCCTAAACATCATGCGTGATGTCCTTGTCACAGAGAACTTAGTCTGTCATATGCAATCTGACTATATGGCCCCTCTCTAGGACACCTTTGACGAGGATGAATGAGGGTGGGGCATGTGGGTCTTTAGGGAGACATGAACGAGACAGTGGGACCAAAGATGTAACGTAACAGAAGCAGTTTATTACACACAGGTCTGCAAGGAAGGAAGTCCAGACAAGTGTCAATTGGGAATAGGAGAAATTCACTCATCCTGAAGGTGTGACTATAGAGAGAGGGCCTGTGGGGTGTGATCTTTGTTAGTACTCAGAGGTTTCCCGCAGGGCCTTTAATTGATCTGAGAGGAACCCTTGATGGATTCAGTAGTGTGGCTTCCTCACTAAGAAGCTGTCACTAACATACATGTGCACAATCCGTAGAGAGCAAGTAGAGTCAGTGAAGTAGGTTGAACTTCTGTGTTCCATACAAAGCTGGTCACAAGGACGCAAGTATATGAGATACACTTCTGGGTTGTCCATCCTAAAGACTGGGAGATAACAGAAGGACAGAACCACAAAGATGGATCTGTGCTTGCAGTGCTGAGTGTGAGGCACCAAACTGGAATCCCTAGTACCCATGTAAATCCCTAGTGCCCAGGTGTGGTTCCCAAATCCCAGCCCTGGAGGGGCAGGGAAAAGCAGATGCCTGTCACTCATTGACAGCCAGATTAGCTGAAATAATGAGTTCTATATTCAGTGAAGGACCCGCTCTCAAAAACTAAGGTTGAAGAAAACATTCAGTGCCTCCATATGTGTATACACAGACATACACACCCACATGTGCACACACATTTACATTTGCGCACAAATGTATGCACATAGATGCACATACATTCTTATAAAAGTTTAACGGTTCCGCCGCTCACTGCTGTTCAGTTGGCTGCTAACGAGGTTAGGACAAGAGGAAACCAGTCCCTTTATTGTGTGCTCACGGATGCCTGGGCCAGACTCCATGGGATAGTTCCAGTCCAGTGGTCATGGCCCTGGTTAATTTCAGTGGGTCACAAAGCAAAGCTGGAAGATGTGAATCTGAGAAAGGAAATGGTGGCAATGAGGGAATGGGAAGGAGATGAACTAGGGTCGGGAGAGAATCATCACAATATACTGTGTGTATCAAATAACAAAATTAATCAATAAAAAGAGGGGAATAGATCCAAACCAACATAAAACTACAAGAGTTCAGGATAGCGATTTTTCTTTCTGCTAAATGATTTAATAATAACCAAGAATGCACCAACCATAATAAAATGGCAAAGCATTCCAGTTTCTCCGTATACTGTGGGGAGGAGTGGTAAGCATTCCAGTTTCACGGTATGCTGTGGGGAGGAGTGGTAACCCACGGCCATGAGTGGGGAGTAGGCTCATCGGGCAGGGTCAAGTTGGGCACCAGTCTGGACCAACAAAATGGGCCGCCTTGAGGGTAGAGCAACAACCTTGGTTTCCTGCAAGAGTCTTGCTCTGTGGGACCTGAACTAAGAACCGCAGGCTTCAGAGACATTACCGTAGGCTTAAAACAAATGTGAGGTAAGTAAATTTTATTACCCATATATTTTATCAATTTTTAATTTTTGAATCAAAATGTCTTAACAGAAAATATGAGTCCTTTTTGGCTGTTCATAACACTTGATGATCCTTCTACATATTTAATATTCTCTTATATCTAATGCTGACCATCATTATTATTTTAAGAGAAAGATTAGTCACAGTTCTTGCGAGGCTAATTTTTGACAGTGTTTTAGTGGCCTCCAGTCTTACAGTTCTTTCTGAATATTGTTCAGATACTGTGTTACTTAAGACAGTTAAGGATCCTGCAAAATAGTTGCGGGAAGGGAATGAGCACACTCCTTTTCTACTTACAGAAAAAGTAAAATTTCTGTTCTCACCCCCACCTCTCTGCTCCTTGCCGCACACCGCACACATCATTTTTAAGAGAGAGGTTCACTGTGTAACTGGCTGGGCTGGTCTCGTTCTCACAGAAACCCACCTGCCTCTGTCTTGTGGGTCTGAGATTAAAGCTACATGTCACTATGCCTGACCCATGTTTATGATTTTTGGAGTAAATATTTGAGAGTTCCTATAGAAGTGTGAGAAAAGTTTGTTTTTCCAACATTTACTCATTCTATACCCCTTGTTTATATGAACACATTAAATTACTCCATGTTTTAGCAGGTACGTTGGTATCTCTAGTTAGTTTTGCCCTATGAACCCCACTTGAAACACCTACACAGAGTTTTCTATAATAAACGGACAGTACACATTTGTCTTTAAGTATGTGTCTTAAAGTTTGACTTATTTGTTTGGAATGAAAATGTAGGGAAAAATATGAATCTTTTTTTCTTGAAAAATATCACAACTTCCCTGTGGTGCCTGAGGCAAAAGAGAAATGATTGTCCAAATAGAAGATAAAACGAGAGCCATCTATACTGAATGCATGGGTAGGCTCGTCATGTCGAGTTTTTTTTGACCCTTATTAATTAGGAGATGGCCTTTCAGATTCTCATGGAAACCCCGTGTCTCCCGAGGACCAAGTAAGCCTTGCCCAGCAGATCTCAGATGTGGTGAAGCAGCCAGCGTTCATTGCGGGCATCGGGGCAGCCTGTTGGATTATCCTCATGGTCTTCAGCATCTGGCTCTACAGACACCGCAAGAAGAGAAACGGGCTCACCAGCACATATGCGGGTATCAGGAAAGGTGTGCCGGCCATAAGACCTTTTATCTCAAACTCATAATATGCTGTTTATGTCACACAGCCTTCCTTAAATGGCTTTAGTAAATGAAGGTCCTCGGTCGTGCTGTTAGTGCTCCACTGTCCACATAGGAACTTGCCTGGATTGCAGGACAGCAAATAGAAATGTCAGCCTCTCAGAACCCACTGCCCACCTAGGCAGTAGAGTTTGCCCTATACTTTCAGGCAGATATTTTATTTTATGTTCTTGCCGGAAATTTGAAATTGTCCGTCATAGGAATTAGAAATCCAGGCTTTAAATTCAGGATCAGTTTGTTTTTTTTGTTTTTTTTTTTTTTTTTGGTGTTGTTGCTTGGGGGTTTTCATTTGCTTTTGTTTGGTTCTTATGGATGAGCGGTTACTGCCACTTACTTGTGTATAATAATTCCCCTTAGTGCGTAGAAATGATGGCTGTGCGGGGTGCTTTAGGTGGGAGATTGAGGAGGTTTAGCTATCATTCATAGATTTAGCATTGTGGAGTTGAATATTTATATACACCTAACTAATGATTTTTGTTAAAATGTCTACACAGGTTTAGAATGCACTGTTTGCTATAATTCAAAGCTTTGAGGATGGGCTACATAGGCTGAGGGGCTCAAAGACCCCTTTGCAGCAGACCCTCAGATCTTGGAGACTGCTGATGTTTAATTTTTATTCTCTGAGTTGGTTCTTGCCGCTGCTCCACTCCCATGTGTCCATTAACTTTGGGCTATAATAGATCAGCTACACATCAGTGTTTAGTGGATAACCCCCCTTTTCTATCCTTATTCAAAATGATGTGGTTTTTTGTTCTTAAAAAAATACCATGATATTAGTGGTAACATTATGACTTACTCTAGTTAGAGGGGCCATACATCACCCTGATATAAGAGGTTTATATTGCTGCAAAGCAGTTTGTGAAGAGTGTTAATAAGGATATCCCTTGACCAATCATTACCTCCTTTCTAATCTCGCCGTGTTTCTTAGGCAAACACTTTCTACATGTCCTGGCAAAGTGCTGTCACTGAGTAATTGTGTGTCTAAGTCAGTACTATCAGTGCAAAGTGGAACTCAAATACCTCTTACACAGTTAGACAGGATTCCAGGTCAGCAAGCTAAACTGTGCCCTTGCTTACAAAAGAGCTTGACAAAAGAATTGAGCCAGATTGTCATCAGTCCTGTGAAAATGAATCCCTGGTGGGCTCTGCAGCCTCCTCTCCATATGTAAATGTCCCTAGGGTTGTCACCAGTACTTTTTGTTTTCCAGACATATATTCTGTCAGTGTCCCAGCCTGTGAAACAACAAAGGGCTTAGGGCCACCGCAAAGACAGTGTGGCACGTTGTGTATACAAAGTGGAACAATGACAGCCACATGTTGACCATATGAACCTCTGAGTCCAGATCAATGTAGACAAGTTTGTAGGGGGTGGGCGGCTGGGGAAGGAGTGTGCTCTTGGAGTCTGTCTTTACAATATGATTTGAGTTAAGAAACATGAGTAATATTTAAATTCGGAGTTCCTTGTATTTTCTGTTTGAAGGACCTCCATCAACGCCTTGACTGGGTGAGCATCCAGCTCCTGAACTCGAGCATTTCCTATTACAGTGAAGTGTCTTCACTATGTAATTGTAGCAGGTTAACCACTCTCTGTTGTCTTGAGATCTAAAGACACAAAACTCTCCTAGTTCTTAAAGCATTCTTTTCCTTCACTAATGTCCTTTTATAATGCCAGTAAAACACCTATGTGCCCTCCCCAGAGCTATCCAACTAATACCATTGTCTTTTCAATTAGCTTCTGTTGAGGCAGAAATCATGAAACGTAATGACAAATGTAATTTAATGAGCCCTTGATTCTGCTGTCCTCGATTTGACATTTTTTCCTTTGTAATTCTTTCTCTGTGCATTTTTTTAAAAAGTATGTTGTGTTATCTTAAATTGCCTATGCCAAAAAAAAAATTAATACCAGAGATTTTAATAAGAGAAGATATGGCATATTTTAAAGAGATCAGTGCAAAACTTGCATTTGCCTCTACAACATCCAGTCAGAGTGTGGCTTTGGCTGCCCGTGGGGGTTTTTTGATGTGGTCTCACTGTATCTCAGCGTAGGTGTGATGTGCAGGAATCCTGAGTACCCGTCTGTACCCTCCTGCATAGATCTTTAACATCAGTGAGCATATAGAGTGTTAACCATGTTCGTAGAGGGTTTGAGGATGAAGTTAGGTTTCAGTGGATAAAATTCCATTTAGTACCGGCCTTTCTTCCTTTATCCTTTATCTTCACAAATTAGGGTGAGCAGAAGGACCTGTTTTCTATTTTCCTATGTCCTTGTAATCACAAATTAATGTTCACACACTCCATTCTTACTTGAATAGATTTAGTTTCAAATGCACCTCCTTTTTTGTGTTTTATGAGGACTTGTTACTATGGGAGGGAGTTTTGGTTTGCTTTGGTTTGTTTTCATGTGGCTAAATTATAATAACTTTTAAACATTCTGAGGAGAAAAAAAACACAATAGAATTCTTAAAGTGGGCCTATATGTATGTGAAGGCCAGTGGATAAACTAAGTATGTGCTGAGGGGTCTGTTGCTGTTCTCCCAAGTATGAAGTATGTATGCAGTGGTTTGGAAAGAAGCAAAGATGCTCCCAGCACGTTCCCACTAAAGCTCCAATCCCACCGTCAGTATCTGACCTATTGATGCATGGATGAAAACTACACTTCATTGTTTTTGATACATGATAAATAATCAGCTTTCCAGTTTTCTTTGCCCTAAAGATTTGTTGAAGGCAAGATTTAATCTGAAAGGAAGGAATGGAATTTTGCTGCTTTCTTTATTAGGACAGCATTACCTTCAAATTGAAGGGAAGAGACTGGAAAATCATTCAGTCTCCTCCCTCTATGAAATGACATGGAAATTGTTGTGTTGCTGTCCCACACCCAGCAAGGCGAGGTGACGGGGGAGGGGGGGAGAGGAAGGGAGGCCAGACAGCTACTTTTGAGGTCTGTAGTTCAATTTCAGGCATTATTGATTAGATTAAGATTTATAACTGCAGAGGGAGTGAAGGTTCTCAGAGGGGTGTTATTGTTCTTTTGTTCAGCTTCTAGGATGGCGTCTAAAAAAGAAAAAGAAAAGTGTTCTCTCTGCTCCTAGAAAAAGCTTCTGCATGTAAAGTTTGGCAAAGAAATTAGAGTTTTAGCTCCACTGCTTTTCCTATCCATTCACAGATTTTGTGATGTTAACAAAAACAAGGAAACACGTTAATCTGTTTCTGTGGTGCTGGGCAATTCTCAGTAAAGCAGTATGGTTTTATGATATTCATATTCTCTCTGTCTCTCTTTCTCTGTCTCTGTGTATCTCTCTCTCTCTCTCTCCTCTCTCTCTTTCTCTCTCTCTCTCTTTCTCACTCACTCACCTTTTTCTCCTCTCTCTCTCTCTTTCCAGTAAGGAACACTTCACCGACGCTATTATTCCTCCTAATAAGCATTTACTTTTAGATGTCTAGATAAGGTCCCAGCACAGCCCTGATAATACTTGTTTAAGAATCCATCACCAGTGTTTAGAAGTGATTAATAGCAGAGGACCTCTGTTTGTACTAAAGCCGTGTGCAGACTCTGTGTTACTAAATGCAAGGTCATTCACGGGCTAACCCAGACAGTCCCCCTCCTGAGCGTGCGAGAATGTCAGACACTTCAGCATGGTACCTGTAGAGACAAGCTTCATTTTTTTTTTAGACTTCAGATTGGTGTTGTTCATATATCAGAGTGTCAGACCTACCGGCTTGGTTATTTACATTTGTTTTATGTTCAGCTGTCTGCTTGATTTATACTAATGTGATATGTTCCCCTTCTCTCTTCAGCTTAATAACTAGTTTATATTTTGTTTTGATTTTTCAGTCCCGTCCTTTACCTTCACACCAACAGGTATCTATATGCACTTAACCTCTTCCTTCTGTACGTTAGTTTGGCATGTGTGGTGCTGTTGTGTTTCTGGTTCCTGTTCACTCTGAGCTGGAACTCGGGGAAAGGACTCACTCACATAGTAGAGTACACAGTTTCCTTCACTCCTGCCAGGCATGCATTTGGAGTAGACATAGTTGGTGCTGCTTTTCCGCCTACTGAATGCAGGTCCATATTCTGCATGCCACTTCCCATCTCAGCCCCGTGTGCATGCATGGTCTCTGTGAAGCAAGCACACCTTTCCTAGCCCCCCCCCACCCCCGCATGATTGAATGTGCTAATCATCTGACTGATTAGATCACACCGGGCAGTGCATCAGTCTCCCCTTGCCTTAAATCTCCAAGTTTTCCAGCAGCAGCAGAACAGTTTCTCTCCTTCGGAACTCTCTGTCTGTAGAATTAGTATTCTTGGAGGTACCCCCAAATCACTCTCTCACGTGAGAGATGAAACCTCATTTTCAACAAGTCAGAGTCTTCATCTTGTTTCCATTCCGTGTCTTTCAGAATGGATGTTTCTTTCCCATCACCTGCAGTCAAAGATGTCCCTGTAGTTATGTGTCCTCGGTTTTAATCCAGTTATTGGGATCCCTGGGCACAGTTATCTCTCCCTAGCAGACTTCCAGTTTAGAGTTTTTCTAAGTAGCAGAAACTTGGCAGCTTTTAAAAACACATTTCTTCTTAGAAAATGTGTCTGTATTTACAGGAAAGCTAATCTTCTTAACTCCTTGCCTAACTATTTATAAATCGGTGTTTGTTCTGGCCAAAATAAAAACTAAGATTTTTTTTTCATTCATGTGTGCTGGAGATATAACATCTGATAGAAACATAACATCCAAGGGTTTTCATAAGCTACATATAAAATCAAAAGCCACGAATAAAATCGTAAGCCATGTATAAAACAGGTCACATTAGTTGTCACAAGTTGGCATAAGTCTTTGTATGTGGAAAGAGGGTTTTTTTGACCATGTATCTTTGGTTTACTTCTGTGTTTCTTCTGGGAAGACAATCTAGCCATGTCTCTTCCCCCCCTCAAATTTAAAATTATACATACAGATATCATAGACCTATCTAATCTTGTGAAAAAGTCTGAACAAATCCATATGGATAGTGGTATACACATCAGAATGAGTTGTGCTTAGTAACAGTGTCCTGGAGTTTTAAATTTTGCTCCTTGCAATCATATTGAGACACTAAGAAATTAAAAACTATATATAGTTTGTCTAAAAATTACCTTCTGAAGTATTCCTAGATGGAGCAAAACTCTGTGACATCTTGCAGTGGTTTTTATAAATCTTCTAGGTAGGAAGAGAGATTGAATGACATTTAGAAAAATGTTCATGAATTTAATGGCTTCTGCTATACAAACATGTCTATTAATTTTTCTCTTTCTCTCTTTTTTTTTTAATAATATTCTAGTAACTTATCAAAGAGGAGGTGAAGCCGTCAGCAGTGGAGGGAGGTAATTATCCTGCTTGCTTTTTAAATCCGAAGGGGTATTCCAATTATTTTTCTTTTGTCGTTGACATTGCTTCCTTTGTTAAAAGGTTAAACTTCCGTGTTGAATTTGTTCACTTACTTTGACATGATCTCTCCATTCAGCTGTTGACCAAGGAATTTCTGCAGTTATTGTATGAATGGGTTGCATTTCAGTTCTTGACCACGAGAGGGAGCAGTCTACCCAGGAAAAGCAGACTTGCTGATTTAGCAGATGATTAAAAGGAGTTAAGTGACTAAGCCTTGGCACTTAGGAAGATTAAGAAATATAGCTGGCTAACAGACACTATCAAAGAAAGGTGTTCCCCTGAAAACCTGCTGAACGGGGGGCAGTTGCTCAGAAGTTGTGGGTGATGTTTGTTCTCAGCAGGAATTTAGCATAATTCACATCTACATCTATGTATGGAGGGGAAATACATTTGAAGGAAGAAATCTAGGTAGCTTGTTAACAAAGAGATGTTTTCACCTCTAATTAAAAATGAACCTCAGTCCCACATTTATGGGGTATTTTTTTGTGATTATTATTCAGTGAGTTGTAATGTATTCACAGAGAAATCACAAATTGAGGTGGCAGAAAGCTTAAAGAGGCTGGGGCAGGGGATAAAACACAGGCTTAAGGATTTTCCCCAAGAAGGTGATTTTTCACCACCCCCCACTTCCCACCCCACCCCCAAAAAATCCAGTAACATTAAAGTGATAAAAAAGAAAGAAAGAAAGGAAGAAAGAAAAGAAAAGAAAAAATTTAAAAACCCGACCAACAGAAAGTATTTTATAATTCAAATTTGCTTAACTTGCTGAGTGCCTTTGAGTGTAGATATGAATAATGTGTCTAACTACTAGAATATGGTGTTATTCCTGAATCTAAGGAGTGGCTGATAGGAACATTACTGAACTTGCCGTATAACAAAGAGAGATTTGAAAGAAGGTTTCCTACCTCTGCCCAAGGCTTTGCATTAGGCACTAATCTCTTCATTCTGGGATACTATTAACTTCTTGTTTTCATACCTGTGAAACAAAGCCAGCCTCCCAATCACTCCCAAACCTAAGAAGTCGACATAAAAAAAAGAGAAAAAATCCACTAGATTCACCAATTAAACCACAGCATATTTTTTGTGTGCTGGGGAATTCCATGTAAGTCCCAGACAGCCCAGGCATTCACGCATGAGCCTCTAGCATAGAAACATTTCCTCTTAGGTAAATCTGGAATGCCTGATTATTTAGCCACCACCTTTTGTGGATATACTTAAGCTGTAGATTTCAGTTTTCTTGGCAGTAGCCCCTGTACATGAAGGCGTGTGGACAAACTCACATGCACATGCATAAAAATAAAATATAAACGCCATCTCTTTGCTAAAGCATTTGCCACCTATGGAAACAAAATCACTGTGTGGGAAACAAGGGCAGAAATGTGTTGAGTGGCATTAAATGGTTCCATTTTAAATGAAGAATTGCCAAGTTCCCAAACTCTGTGCTTGAAAATTCACTAGCAATGAAGGCAGATCTGTCTACATTTAAAAGCACATGCCTAGCCAGGCAGTGGTGGCACACGCATGCCTTTAATCCCAGCACTTGGGAGGCAGAAACAGGCAGATTTCTGTGTTGGGGGCCAGCCTGGTCTACAGAGTGAGTTCCAGGACAGCCAGTGCTATACACAGAAACCCTTTCTCAAAAAAAACAAACCAAAAGGGGGGAAAGAAAAGCACATGCCCTAGCGATGAAGTGTATTTATTTCCAGCACTCACTAGAGACCATCACTTTCTTCAGGATAATGGCGAAAGGTTCAGGAATGTGGGGGAAGTCACAGTTAAAGCTCAGGATGACTAGTTGTTGCTTTGTCTTTTTTTTTTTCACAATTTTAAACATCGATACATTAGCTAGAATAAACTTCTACTGAGTAGCAGCCACTGCATAAAATCCGCACTCTGGATTTCACAGTATAGTGAGAAGGACAAGGTGAACAATAAAGATAGACACTTTTAAAAGTCTACTATTTACTGTCATGGCGGTTGCTATTCATGGGGGAGTTGGGGAATGGAATACTGAAAATGGTTCATCGGGAAGAGACGTCATTCCTAGCCATGGAATGGTTGTGTGTATTTGTGTGCCGTGCCTGTGAATGCACAGTTGTGTATGTGTATGTTTTGTATTGATGGGGCAGAGAAAGTGTTACCATATCAAATGTCTCTGCTGAGTTCTCTTTGTCTATCCCTTCAGCTCTGGGTTTCTTCATACATCTCAGATTCTGGATCCTAATGGACCTGGCACATCACTAGGTCAATGATACCGCAGCCAAAACCTTCACACCAGATGGTTTCACACCCTGAATCCACTGAGCATCTTACCCTTTTCTCTTCCCTAGGGTCAGTTGTCTGAAATCTCTAGATTCCCACCCCCACCCCCTCCTATTCTAGAAGAAAACACAAGCTGTCCCAACTTAATCTAGTTTCATTAAAACAATTCTTGACGCTTCTCTGCCAGTTTAGGCAAGAGTGATCTTTGGGATGTGTGTTGAGCATATCCGCATTCTTGAAGAAACCAGTATCGGTAGACCCCTGGATTCAAGGGCAGTATATCAACCCCAAAGAATCTTAGACTGCCATGTTAGCTAGCCCATGTGACATTGTGTGCTATGCCTGCTGGATCATGACATTGTGCAGTATATAAGGTTAGTCCAAAGATGACTTTCTACTTAACCATCCCTTGGCAATCTTGACATCCCCTTATCCAGTCTTGCTTTTGATTGCTCCCGATGAAATACATACCATGGAACTACCTCAATTAAGCATGAAATAAATCGACTATCTTATAAAAAAAAAAGAAAAGAAAGAAAAAGAAAAATCAAAGTGTCACTAAACTATAGCTTTAGAGAATCTACGTTGTGCTCTCGGCACTCACATCAGGTGGTACACAACTAACTGCATGCCTGAAGCTCACCATTTAGGTGAAGCTGGCTGGCCAGTGGGTTCCAGCCTTGTCTCCACCTCCCCAGAGCTGGGATAGCAAGTGTTCACGCCCAGCTGTTTACATGGATTCTGGGCATTGAACCTGGTTCCTCATGCCTGCACAACACCTTACTGACTGGCTTCTCTTCCCAGCCCAATAAATACGTTTTTCTTACGTCATCAAGCTGATTTATTGGATGACATCAGAAAACTCAGTGACTGTACTCCAACACTGTCACTGATACACTCTTTGAGAAGGATGAATGGCTTGATAGATAAATGAATGCCAAAGGCCCCATTTTGTTGTTGATTGTTTTAAAGGTTTGTTGTTTGGAAGTGGATTTTTTTTTTCATTTTATAAGAGAAGAGGCTATGTTAAAAAAAAAAAAGAAGTTAGAATTTCTCACACAGTAGATTTATTTATCCCTTAAAGATGAATGAGCATTGTGGTCATACCACGTGATCTGCTCCCGGCATGCAAAGGACCAAGTGTGTGGTAATCCAGATGGAGCATAGTAATATTAAATAGCTCTTCTTACCCATTTGTTTCTCATGCCTCAAATATTCCAGTTGCCTCTTCCAAGAAAACCCACTTAAATTCCAAACCACAACATGAACCAGGAAAAAAGAAAAAAGAGGGAAACCTGAGGGGGGGTGTGCGAAGGTCAGCTTTGCCTGGTTAATGTGCCAACACCACATTTCCTGTCAGGGGCAAACAGACAGAAGTGGATAAAACCCACATCTTGCTTCTCTTAAAAACCTTGGCAACTCTTAGATGGAACCTGGGGCTTTGAAACTCATTCACCCAGTCCGTGGAGACAGGCCGCAGCCGATAGGCTGGCAGCCTTCACTGCTGGGATTCTGCATAATTTTTCCACAGCTCTTAGGTTCTGTGGTATGGTATTTATGTTGTGGTTTATCAATTCAAATAAGCGTTCTTGGAGTGAGAGATAGGAATATCTGAAGTAACGGAAAACCCAGAACTGAAGGCAATGGGCATGTAATCTTTGGGACACATTTGGGTCCTTTGTTGTTTTGTTTTGTTTGTCGTGATTCAAAAAAATCCTCTTAATATACGCAATCATGTAAAATTATTTTTAACCTGCTTAAGCCAGTAGCCGCTATATGCTTTGCTTCTGTTGAGCAGCTAAACTTACACATTAGTTCCATAGATTTAAATGGATAAACATAGCCCTCGGAATTGTTGGTTGCAGAAGTCAGGTGACCCCCTTAACAGTATCTGTGCTTACCCTTCCCTTCTACCAAGACCTCTGCCACACACACCTGGCACTTTAAGCTTCGTTATGGAACGAGAGTCATGTTTTACCTTCTCCCTGAGAATACTTTTCATTCCAAACTCAAGTCCAAACAGAAGCCCGGGGTGTGATTGCTCATCTTCCTTCCTGCTTCAAATCACCCGTCTGTATAAGAAGCTTTAAGCTCCTGATAATATCAGAGCACTCACTGTAAACGTGTTTACAGTGTTTACAGAGGGAATCAGTAGCATCAAAACACTGTCTCTTCCTTTTGAAACACTCAAGCCAGTCTGGGAAATTTCCACTTGACTTATACTTCATACATACCATTGTGTCTCACACCAAAATGCAGAACTTCAACGGTGACAGCACTCCAGGTTTGCATTCAGGGGAAAGAAAATAAGAAACGTAACGATGACTGGATGCAGATTTCCTGTCGCTTACATCATCTATTTCACACCCCAAACATCCATGCCACAGCTTATGTATAAAATGTTGAATATTTCAACATTGCAGCAACATCGGTCTTCAAAACATGCTTTTATCAACACCTTTAATAATTGAATAGCCCAATTTTTGAAGCTTTATTGAGACTATGGTACATTTTCTTCATTGTTCCAATTACGGAGTGTTTGGGAGGATCAAGGAATCCCCACAGGTTTCTGTGTGTGTTTGGAACACGACACATCAGTAACATGCCACATCAGCGCGCGGACACTGGAGACATTGCTCGCGTCTGCCACTCACTGTGGAGACAAGTACCCTAACCTCCCTCCCATGTCCCAGTTTCCTCTCCTGTAAGATATGGATGCTAGCAGCCTGGGTCCGTAAAATTGTGATGATTAAACTGTGTACCTACATTTAAAGAATTCAGCACAATGCCTCACACGTTATAAGCAGGGAGTAAATAGTCGTTTTAACTGAGTAAATATACACTCCCCAGCTAAGTCAGAAGTACGTTTGTTGTGCTTTAGCGAAGAAAACACAACCGTCGAATAGTCTGCGATGCCAGTCTGTTCTACTGTGGGTACAGCACAGCGCAGTGCATCTCAGGCCCTTCCTCCCTGTGCTGCATTACCAAGTAGAGTTGAAAGAGCATGTGCACCACAGTTTGATTCCCTGGCACCAGCGGTCTAGGACACCCATTCATTACTGCATGTGTACTCCGCCTCCACAAAGAGAACGTGGAATAGCATTAGTTGTGGACGGGCAGAGGGGAGGACACTGATATTTCTTTCGGTCAACTGGTGTAAAAATTATTTATCCATTAATTCCGGCAGCGGGTGGTTTTGCTACCCACCCCAATCCTTTACGTTCCCGAATGAAAGACACTCACACTACCTTTATATTTTGATATGCCTTAATCAGTGTGATAGCTGGGCCACTTCCTAACCTCCACCTGGTTAGTCCACCTTGTGACACCGGTCATCCTGAGTTATTACTTACTAAAGTCTATTTTCCACCTTGGCTGGCCTGGACCCAGAGGGATGACCAATGCGGCCACACTCTCCTGGCTCCTTCACATTGCCGGCCATGCCTGTCTGCCCTCCACTCTTCTCAGTCATGGTGTCTCTCCTCTCTCTTTCTCCTGGCATGGCAGATCTTCTACCTGTCTGTCCCAAGCCCAGGGATCCTAAAAGTCCTGCCTATCTCTATCTTGTCCAGCCATTAGCTACCGTCATCTTAATTTACCAATCAGAACCAACTGGGGACAATCAGTGCCTTACATGCAGACACTCGTGTAGGCAGTTTGGGGGGACCAAAATTAACATTATAATACAAGCAGCATTAAGCTAAATCCACTATATTTCCCCCCTTTTGTCCAATTAAAAAGGCTCTTTCCTCTCAGATATAAATTGAACGCAATTATAACAATTATGCAAATTATAAGGTATGATATACACTTATAAAATCCAGTCCATCAATTTTGTCAATTTAGATAAATTACTCTATCATCCTTCCTTACTTAAAGAGTTTTCTATTCTATACCTCAAATGCATTAGGCTAAACCCACTACAGCCAACATCTTTGTTTCATCAAATTTTATTCATTAGCTTTCCAGTGCGCAGGACTCAGGACGTTTTTACGTTATCCCCATGACTGACAAGCTTACAGATGAGCATGCTAATACAGTGATGCGGCCCTGTACAAGATGCTGTAGGGCCCCATGCTCTCTCTGAAAGCAACATGGCTTTGGAGAAAAATGTGCAAGAATGCTTTATGAGAAGATCTGTTTGTGTAGCAAATGCACATGTTCTGTTTTTATAATGAAGCAATTTTAGTGGATCAAAAGTGAAGTCAGGCAGGTAGCCCTGCCTTATAAGTCTCAAAATTGTGCTCTGGTAATTTCAGATCCGGTATTTGTTTTCTAAACACCGTGACAAAAAAAAAAAGTGCAGTTTGCACTCTGAAACACAGCTCTACAGATCTAATGGCTCTGTCCACAGAAATACTTCCTAGAACATTAGATTACAATTGCCTGTCTGTATAGTATCTATATTACGGTATCATTCCATACCATAGTATCATTCGGTATAGCTCACCATATTATGGGGAGGTTAATCAAACGAAACTCTTGCTGGAATTCCAACTAAGAATTGTTTTCCATTCCTTTTCTGTATTGTTTTCTTTTAGGCCGGGTCTCCTCAACATTAGTGAACCTGCCACGCAGCCATGGCTGGCAGACACATGGCCCAACACAGGCAACAATCACAACGACTGCTCCATCAACTGCTGCACAGCCGGCAACGGCAACAGCGACAGCAACCTGACAACCTACAGTCGCCCAGGTTAGGGGCACGGCTAAAGCCGAAACCACATCAGCCTTACCAGGAGTTAGCCAGAAAAATGTCATGTGTCCTTCCTGAATGAGGAGGAAACCAGTCAACAACCTTAGGAAATCATAAATATGTCACTAACTAGCATGCTCAAATATCTTCTCCATCCCTGCACGGAACATACAAATTCTAGAAAATAAAATTATGAAAAAGTCATAGTATTTATAATTCTAAGTTTTATTATGACTATTTGAGGCCCAAAGAATTGATTTAAAAAAAAAAGCAAAATTTTCAGTGGCAACAACAGTGATAATCACCTACAGTAATAACAAAACTTTTTGATGAGAGTGAACTAAATTTTTAGATCAGAATTCACAATAGTAAAAACAAATCCCAAGGCTACAGAGATACTCAGTGGTATCAACACATATAAGCACACAGCTGGATTACATTTATGGCGTATTATATAAACTAAACCTAAAACATCAGAGTGGAATGTGGAATTTACAGGCTAAAGTAGGAAAGTTAGAAAATTTTCCTAAGGAAACAAAACAAGTTTAGAAACTAAAATAAAAGGTTTTTTAAAAAAGGCAGAAAATGTGAGGATGGAAATAGAAAATTGCATGGGCCTAAGAAAAGGAGACAGAGAAGGTGGGCTGTAGATAAATACGTTATAATGTGAGAAGAAATCACAAGCCCTTAAAAACAATCCTAGGTCTCATTTACTGGTGGTAAATGTTACTTATCCATATGACAGGTCTGTGTCCTGAGAGCTCCATGCTCGGTCTAGACAGAGAGCCCCACAACCCCGAATAAAAGGCAGTGTTGACACCCACAGGAAAGCACAAATGCTGACAGCCCTGTGAAGTGACATTCAGAGCTACTGTCCAATAGGAGAGCCACAGGTGGCTTTTAAAATTCAACTTGATTGAATGTTTCCTCATGCCTCTTAGCCACATCTGAAGTTCTTTAGAGCCAGATATGACCAGTGGCTACCATATTACCAGTTTAGGGTAGAAGGAGGCCAAGACAATAAACAACCCATTTCATAAAACTCATATAGAAAGGTTGCCAAAGCAAGATGAGGTTTCCAAAACGACACTGTTTTTGTTGTCTTTCTTACTATTGAAGAGAACCTAATGCCTAGAAATTAAAGATAGAGTTATTACAGACAATCTTGAACTGAACATCCGTGGTCCATAGTATATAACCAAAGTGCAAAGTGGTTGAATTCACTAGGATAGGGAAATTGGAAGTTTTTAAGGTTATGCTCCTGGTTGTCTCGTAAGTAGCATGTTAATTTATCACTTTTAAAGATGTCTGAAAGCTAATTCTTTAAGAAACCTGTTAACGTTGGTGCCACTTTTGAGCAACATGAATAAAATGTTATTCCGCTAATAATTTTCAATTTAAAATCTTTTAACTTAAAATACAACTTCAGTTCTTCCTGCTGTTTTAATACTTTGAACTTTAAATGCATCAACGTGTGTGTTATTCGGTTCCTAATTATCTCAATGAACATAGAATTAGCATGGCAATGAGATATTAGAAATATCAGATATTATGTCTGTCCTTATCTGATTAAATGGCCCGGGTCATCATGATTCATTTTGTCACCATCATTATCCTTTTAGACTCCGTGGGGTGTCATTATGAAAGCATGAATGATGGTTATGTAGCGTCTTTCTCTGATAATGGTTATCCTGTACGACCAAGTAATGAACCAGTAAAATACTCCAGAGCAGTACTTCCTGTTGCTTTTCCCTATTCTCTTAGCTCTGAATAGAAGCATTTTGTAAAATATTGAAATCTCAGGTCATTGATATGTAATTAGAGGTTGTATTCACCCCGGTCGGATTCCTCACCTCACCAGCTTAGTTCTATTGCTTAAATGTCTCCAACTAGTAGCTTCAACTTGGTCCGTAACCTGCAACCAGGAAATGTGAAGGTCTCCCATTTGTATGAAATATGTGTATGAGATACATACACATCTGCATGTATACTGTTGTACTGGAATTCCTTTTGATGGAGTTAAGGAAAGCTACTTTAAACAGGATCGTAACTAACACCGACGGAGTCCAAAAATTATTTGGTTCCTACATCAAAATGTATGAATATTTTTACCTCCTTAAATTTTGGTTTCCTTTGATAGCCCATGTGAATAGTTCACCCGTTCTGTAAATCTTAAGCACACTTTTCCTGTATAGGCCAATTTCATTATAACTCAGAAAGCTTAGAAAACAATTTAAGACGAATAACCATGCAGAATGACTTTTTCCTTTTCCTCTTCATTGTACATAGCTGATTGTATAGCAAATTATAACAACCAACTGGATAACAAACAAACAAATCTGATGCTCCCTGAGTCAACTGTTTATGGTGATGTGGACCTTAGTAACAAAATCAATGAGATGAAAACCTTCAATAGCCCAAATCTGAAGGACGGGCGTTTTGTCAATCCATCAGGGCAGCCTACTCCCTATGCCACCACGCAGCTCATCCAGGCCAACCTCAGCAACAATATGAATAATGGCAGCGGGGACTCCAGCGAGAAGCACTGGAAGCCTCCGGGGCAGCAGAAACAGGAAGTGGCACCAATTCAGTATAACATCATGGAGCAAAACAAGCTGAACAAAGGTGAAGGGCTTTGCATTTGTCCCTGCCCCTTCTTGTAGTGATCCCCTGACCCCCAGCGCTAACTATGAAAACTGGTCTGTGACTACCTAGTCAAATCCTTCTTTTGATTACTGAAATTATTCTTGTTTCTTTGGCTTCAGAATTTCCAGTGTCAAAAAGAGTTAATTAGCACAACAATGACCATGGAAAATTGATTTTATAATAATATATAAGTATTTTCAAATGGTTTTGAGATTAATTTAAATTTAATAGTAGGTGAAGGATTGCCTAGGACATGCAATCTTTTATTCATAAGGCAGATGTACAGCTTTCACAATACCTCATATTCTCAATAAATAGACTATTCCATCCTTTCCACTTGAGGATGGAAGATAATTGCTTCTACATGGTCCTATAAACGAATGGCATTTTTATATCAAACTGAAGAAAAATAATTAAATTAAACTTGAACTGGAGAAGTGGTTCAATTTCTTGTATCACCTTGCGTGATTCCTGTGACTGCTATAATATATAATTCTGGGACCTAAATTTCTGTGGTTGACCTGATTGAAGTCTGTCAGTATAGAACCTAAAATAAATTGAGTTTAATATTAACTTGAAGCAGCAGAATGGTATTGTATGGCCTGAGGGGAATGTCTCTGTATTGTAATGTGTGGGTTGAAAGAGATAGGTATTTGATTCCTTCACAGTTCTCCAGGCTACTGCTGAAGTAACATGATTTGCAAAGTTATACCTCTAGGTAAAGCAAGATTGCTCTAATTTGAATAGCTAGGGCAATGTTGTGCACGTACACAGGTAAAAGACACATTTTACTGTAAGTAATTAGAGACAAGGTTTTATTTCCCTGTGAACGTACAACTCGAGATTACCAAAGGGTAATTTAAGCATTTCATTTGATTAAATCCACACTATATGTTTTAATTTCATAATAAAGTCATCTAACCTTTTCCCAAGTTTAAGGAAGCACTTGACTGATATAATAACCCAATTTAATGAAATTCATTAAGACTCCTGCATACGTTCATGACAAAGACTGACACAGAAGGAAAGGGGAGTTTCTTCACTGTGGTGGTCAAACTCCCGTCACCTTCTTCTGCCACTTTGTATGCTTTCACTCTGAGCCGTGGAAAGGTCTGGAAGTCCAGTGTACAAAAAGTTTAGAACCTCTGCTCACTTTCACTGCTTTGAAGCACATTGAGTATGTGAAAATGTAAATAATAAAGACTCTGGAATGCAAATCGACTGACAGATTAGTGCTGCCAGTGTGCCCCTGGCAGTCTTATCTTTTGCATTTTCACCTCTGCCCAGGTTAGCAGAAACATCTCTGGGGCAGATCAAGATACTGTGTTTTCTTACGTTTTTAATAGATACAATGTTGTTGTCAAGTTTCAGTTCTCTCTGTATATAGGTAGAGTTGCATAGGTAGTTAATCTACAAGTATGTTACCATTTGAATCTAGGCTGCAAAGCACAATCATGATGCATGCTTAGACAGAGACAACCGAAGAGAAGATAAACTGAGGGCAAGGTCTAGGTTCAGTTGGCATCTGTCTTGGTTTATAATACCTTTACTCTGGACAGGGGTGGAAGGAGAAGGAGTGAGACAGAGAGAGAAAGAGGGAGAGATACTATACCGGACATTCAACTGAATCTAAGTCCTAATGCATGTGAAACAAGCACTAGTATGAAGCTGTGCCCACAGTCCCTGTTATTATATTTAAAAATACATACATACATCTATGTATGTGTGCACTTCAACTAGAAGCTTTTCTCTATCATCTTAATCTGAAGTGAAAAACAAGAAACCAGGCGAGTAGATAATCCAGCTGCTGTCTTCTGTTACTCAGAAATAGAATCCAAACAAATGTGAAATAACTATGATGAAATAAACCTTTTTTTTTTCCTATCTGGAATGTTTAGATTATCGGGCAAATGACACAATCCCTCCAACCATCCCATACAACCAATCGTATGACCAGAATACAGGAGGATCTTACAACAGCTCGGATCGGGGCAGTAGTACATCTGGTAAGTAAGAAACACCCAAGACAGTGTTGGCCTTTATCTTTAAAAGAGCTGATGAGCAGAGTGCTGGTCAGCTGTGTAACGAAGTGATGGGAATCATCACCTTGTATCATAAGAGTCCCAGACACAGGTCTGCTCTAGAGCACCATCCACCCAATAAACGACGTCATACCCTACTTAGCATCAAATAGCAAATGTTCTGTTTCCTTCTTTGATACTGAAATTTAGCAAAGTCCAAACTACAAAATAATTTCCAAGGCAGTTAAACTTCTTTTCCTTCCCTTAGTCAAAACACAGTCCCAAATAGTACATCTGCGATGACTTTGCTGTTACCACTTGGTACGCTCAAGGAGACGAAAGCCCGAGGAATCTGGGGTTGAGGGATAGCAGAAACCTATCCTAGTTCACGTTCTCTCCGGGGTCTCCCAGTTCTTGCTGGAAAGCTCATAATGTTTCCTCCCAGTATCATCTGTCCTGCCTCAGAAGCCACGGTGAGGCTTCCCTGTGGGTCGGCGTGCGGCTGCAGCTGTCTCCCAGCTGTTTTCCTGATCGGCGCTGCAGATGGGAGTTTGCTGGTAGTTAAGTCCTGTTTTCGTAATTAAAGGCGGTTCATTATTAGAACTAACATGTGGCAAGTCACACCACAATGAGAACAGAGCGATTGATCTTAAGTGGAGCATGTTTTCTCCAGGATAGGGAAGAACAGAACCTCCTGGCAACTGCACGAGGTGTTGCTAGGTTCTTTGTGCCGATCGGCTCTGCCCTCTTCTCTAACGATGCTCACATCTGCAGTTTTCTATCTCCCCTTAACAGAGGCATAATGGTGTGGCAATCCCTAGCCTGTACCACACAGGTTCTTATGTGAATTACAGAAACTTAGAGATGATTCTTTACTATTTTAGATTTTGGGGCAGGGGAGGTTGGGTGGGGGTTTGTACTAAATACTCGATAAGTCTTAAATGATTTTCCTTTTTCTTCTTCAAAGTAATGAAATTCCATGTTTTGAACAAAATTTCACGTGTGTATTTTTGGGGAAAATCACCACCAATGTTTTAAGTATTTGGTTATGATCAGTCATTTTGTCTTTGAACTCTTAGCTACTTGTAGAGAAAAACTAGGTGATTGATTCTCCCTTGGCATCTACATCCCTCACTCTAGAAGCCTGATCTTGATACTTCTGCTATCACTGGTTATTCCATGGATGATAAAAGGATGCTAGAGACGTGACATCTGATCATGACCTGTAGTGGAAAACAAAGCACATGAATGAAATTCAGGAGAGGGCTGCCATGTTCAGCACCTTAGGGCAGATGCGTATGAGGAAATGAAGAGGAAGGGCATGGGTCAATGTTACCTTCATGACACACGTTCCACAGTCCTCCTAGTGCAAGCCACGGAGGGTGTGAGAGAGCACGGAGATGAACAGACTGGGACTGACAGTCAGCGTTTATTGTTAACAGTTGGCTTGCCCTTCAGCCCACATTTTGATGCAATAGCAGATCAGCCCAAGAACAACTGGCATGACACACAGTTCCCGTGACAGGAAAGTCCCAAGTGACTTAAAAACATTTTAAAGGCTCATTGAATAAGCTAAAGCCTGCTTCATCTCCCATGAGACTTGTTTCAGAGTCATAAAGAAACATTAAAGCAATTCTGGGATATTGGGGGCTCATGTGAAAAAAAAAACAATTACAGACTCTGTGTTCATAATCTACATATGGACCTGAAATATGTTAAGTGGGAGTGTTTAATTACACACAATCTTTTGACTTAAAACTCTCTAGAAATTCATGTGCATACCAGCTACCAATGTTTAAAGGAGGAGTCATTTCTAAAATCAAAAACACCATAGTAATTGAATCATTGGGCTACTTCATGTCACTGCAAGTGTTCAGGGATGTCATCCTTTTTATTATTATAAGCCATAATTTTATATAAACTGGTTAAAATATTTCTGTCCATTATTTTTAACTCACTTTTCTCCTTCCTTTGTCATTAGATATATTAGTTCTTCTGGCAATTTCCTTACCCCTACCTCTCTTCCCCAAGAAAATGAGAACTTTCATTGTGCCTGAAACATTCCAGTGGACAAGTACAAATGATATATATTCAGTGATTTAATGCAACAGTAGAACACTAATAGATCGTATCTGTATCACATTGTATTTTAGAATTCAGCAATTAAATAATAGCAAGGCACTCCAGAAAATATGTCCACAGCTCATTTGTTTCAGATGATAATCCATAATGCAATTAATTGCTGTAGGAAGATCACTATTAATGATACGACTTGTAAAATTCACTTAAGCTTATGCGTCATCCTGGGCTATGCATTGAACTTGGTGGTATTTGGCATTTTCTCTTGTATCAAGTCCTGTCTAATGAAGAAAAGTGCACACACACGTATGTGCATATGAATTGTCGGATAGTAGCAGAATATATTAAACTCATTAATAATGGAAAATAAAATGTAAAGGTCAGAAACAAAAGACACTGTATTTTATTTCTTTTCTAGGGAGTCAAGGCCACAAGAAAGGGGCACGGACACCAAAGGCACCCAAGCAGGGTGGCATGAACTGGGCAGACTTGCTGCCCCCTCCCCCGGCACATCCTCCCCCGCATAGCAACAGCGAAGAATACAGCATGTCCGTAGATGAAAGGTAAGGGTATTGCCACAGTAAGAGGAGCAGTATGCGTGCTTTGGAGTGGACAAGTCAGGGTTGACTCGAATTGCCCAAAGAAGATTGATTCCTCGGTTCACAAACACTAGTCCCTAAATAAAACAGCAAGACTTAACAGCCCTCCTTGGGGAAATCTGAAATAAGAATTAAGGTTAAGGACACTTCTTTAGAACCTGAGATTAGGGACACATAGTATATATACACACATTTTTATGCACACATATATGAGCTGTCCCTAGGGCTGACTCAAATATGAATTATGTCTTAGAATGCTTCTTTAATGCACACATTATACATGCACATGTGCACGGATGTACCTAATTATTCAAGTATGTGTACATATGTATGCACATATTAAAAAGAGTGTTATAATAGCTGGGTGAGGGTGGTACATGTCTTTAATCCCAGCACCTGGGATTAACAACAAAACAAGTGTTATATACATATAAACTCAAGCACAGAATCATATACACATGATTTCATGATATTTTAAATACACTACTAGATCCACTGGTGTCAGTGTTGTAACGTGTTATATGATGAGAATTCTCTAAGATTATAATGGAATGGGAAAAACCCTATCCAATAGTGTTTCCCTTGTGACTTTCATATCTTCAGTGCCTCTGAAAACACAAATACTTTTGCACTGTGTTTCTTTTCTCTGCAAGTTCAAGTATAATAACTACCTCTACTGCAGAGAGAGTAGACAATGCCATCTAGGTTTGTGACAGTGTTCTCTGGGATGTCCATGAAATGTCAAAGTTCTCCAACAATGGATTCCTCAGAATGCATCCCCGCCATTAGGCCATGACTGGGAGTGTTCGAAAGTTCTTGTCACATGCTAAGTTTTTCTAAAACAGTTCCATCAGTCTATACAGCTCATGGTAGACCAGCACACTTCCTTAAATGTCATTACCTTGTGCAAAAAAAAAAAAAAAAACCCAAAACAAAAACAGTTTTCTTTAGAAATTTTAACTCTGCAGGCCTGATTCTCAAAGCATTTAATGAATATAAGCAAGCCACATGGTAAAATGTAGGAAGTGTGTGTCCTGTTTACTTTTCCCAATGTTGGTCACTGGATGTGGTACACCAGACGAAATAAAAAGCCGCCTTGCCAGTATCATCACAGGAGATCTCCTCTAAGAGAGGCATACCCAGCCAGAAAGGCTGTCTACCCGAAAACAGCCTTTTCAGTAACTAGAAAGAAAAGAAAGGAGGCTTGATTAATTGATTATCCACCAACATTTTAACAGTTTGACAGCTTTAACCGTTTCAATTCTGCTCCCAAATAAGTCCCCATCTTTGCATTGTCTAATAATATTCAAAATGTATTTTTATGTAAAGCTCTTATACAGAAAATGTTTATAGGCAATTCTCATGATCTGTAGCTGTAAGGCTGACAGCGCTCAGTTACTGACTATGTATGACTAGAGGGAGTTCCAAAGAGCCCCCACCTCAGTGGTGTTCGACAGTACATTCTTCTATTTAATGGGTGTTTTGTTCAAAATACCTTAGTTAACATCTGTTCGTCTTCCATAGTGAGGGACTCACAGCCAACAGCACTAGATCATGTCCGAGCACATTCACCTCGAAGGGGCATAAGGCCCACCGCTGCCTTCCTTAGTCTAGTGGTACTTCAGCACTTCCTGTGAATGTCATAATCAAACAGGAAAATCACCAATATTATGCAAAAAAAATCAAAAGAAAAGAATTAAGAAAGAAGCTTAGAACTATGAACAGTGATAGAAAGATGATTGCTGAATACATAAACAGGAACTCCTAAAAGGAGGACTTTTATTTTTATTTATTTTACTTATTTTTAACCTCAGCTGGCAACATATGTGGCAGGTGGCTAGATTTTGGCCTTTGCAGACTCAGGAATGACCATGAAAATGTCACCAACACCGATTTTGTGGTTGCATATAAATTTTACTGAGTCAGTAAATTTACAGGCACAGAATGTACAAGTAACAAAGATCCGTACAGGTGTTGTTTTTAAAAGTTTGTTGTCCCAGTTATTTTGATACAGTAGTTAACTGCTTAGTACACACACACACACACACACACACATACACACAAAATGAAGTTAATATGAACAAAGGAAAAACAAAGCGAAACCTTCTGGCACCGCAGTGGGCAAAAGACTACATCCCAAAGAGGATGATTCTGAATGGGGAGAACGAAGGCTTCCTGATCAAGAGGCAGTTGTTCCTAACCTTGACACATGAGAAGGTTCTGAATAAAGACTGGGTTTATGGACACTGGGACCACACAGAGATTCGGACTCCTGGAGAGCTTAACAGGAAACACATGGGTGGGACTGAGAGGAAGCTGGGAAGGCAGATGTAAACCAGATCGTGCAGATACTCCAGTGACTTGCCTTGGCATTTTTATATTTTATTGTTCAAGCAATTAAAAGAATCACTTATTGCTTTGGAGTAAATGGATGATCTGTGAGTGGTGTACGATTAGTTTTGCAAATTTGGAGCAACTTGAAGGCACAGAAGAAAGGAGCTCTCGGAAACAAACAGAGAGGTGAATCAGAATGGTTAAGGCAATGGCACACACAGCAGACACAAGCAAGGGACTTGACTCGAGAGTTTTTTCACAGATAGAGATGAGCCAGGGAGTGGTTTGAGGCAGAAGAAAGAAAGTACTAAAAATACTCTCTTAAGACTCCTAGTTTAGATATGAGAACAAATTACTGTGCTTCTTGAAAATGAAGGAAACATAGACAAGAGGGACAAAGGATAACCTGTTAGAAATAAAAAATAAAAGAATACACAAACAACCACAGTATTTGAACATCAGCTCCTCTGATCGAGGGAATCAAAGTTGGTAGAATATGAGTAAAGGAAGGGCTGCCACAGGCCACTCTGGTGGTACATGCCTGTAACCCCTGCTGTCAGAAGGCTGAGGCTGGATTGTATGACTGTGGCTAGCCTGGTCTATCAAAACCTGTTGTCTCTCTGAAATAGAAAAAAGGAAAAATAAACGGAGAGTAAGAAAAGGAAGTACATGACGTATACAGTCTAATCTATCCTTGTAATGCATGAAGATCCCCGAGGGCAAGAGGAGAAAGAGCTTGCTTTCCCTGACTGCATCTTGATACCCACAGCAGCTTTCTATCTAGAAGAAAAAGACATCTGATTTTATTTACATTCACGATCCCAACCAACCAGTCTCAGGTTCAACTAAAGCAACAATACTTCTTGCAGTGTCAGAGGAAACTTGGGTGAAGCTGGATTGAATCAGCTGAGTTCCAGTTTATGTCCCTTTGAAAGGATTTCTCCTAGCTCAGGACATGACCTTGGACCGTTTGCAGTGCATTTTCCATCTTTTTCCTAAGGTCCTATGGAGTGACAGAGCTAGAATCTCCCTATTTCCCACCACCAGACCCCTCAGCCTCTATAAGATGCTATGCTATCGCATGCACTGGTAACTTCTAACAATGAGCTGTTTTCTAATGATAATTCTTTAGTAAGACCTAGCAATTCGGTGCCAACCCTCCCACTTTCTAATACAAATAGTTTACTGCACATTCTTGTAATTTGTTGTAGCTATGATCAAGAAATGCCCTGTCCTGTGCCACCTGCGCGGATGTATTTGCAACAGGATGAATTAGAAGAAGAGGAAGATGAAAGAGGCCCCACTCCCCCTGTCCGAGGGGCAGCGTCTTCTCCAGCTGCTGTGTCCTACAGCCATCAATCCACGGCCACTCTCACCCCTTCTCCCCAGGAAGAGCTCCAGCCCATGTTACAGGATTGTCCGGAAGACATCGGCCACATGCCCCACCCACCAGACAGGAGGTACGTTCTCATTGGCTGCCTTGGTGACCAATCACGATTTCCACTCCTCAGAGATAGTTGTTGGATATAGTGCCATGAAATAATTTTTGAGTCACATGAGCGTTTGCCTGGGCTACCAGCCCATACAGATAATGGATATTACCAACTGATACTGTTGACTCTCACGTTAGCTGAATTGAACCCCATAAACTAGTAACCAGAAAATAATGTGGACACAAATATTTAACCTCGCTTTATAGTTATATTCATGAACACCTGTCTCATGTAAGTCCTGTGTTCTTGATGATAAATGTTTCATAATATAGTTTTTTCTATATATGGCCAGATGCTTATTTAGTCTGGCGGGCAGGGAAGAGTTTACTCCTGTTATTTTAAACCAAACAAAATATCATTTATAAAAAGTTGGTATGCTTATTTTATAGTAACTTCAGATATCTTAATTTTGGTTTAAATATCCAGCTGGAATGCCTCTGTCCAGGCTGCAAACAATACATGTGTGTGCACATGTGCACATGCAGATATATGGGCTTTTTAAATCTATTGAACATCACCAACAATCCGTTTTATTACATGCAGTGAATACGCATGCTGTTCCTACCACATAAAAACAGAGTCATGTTAGCTTTTCGTGTTGATGATTTTGTTTGTAGCATTTTATTGCCCTTGACACATTAGGTATCTATTGCTTTTCTGATTCCTAATATCCTTTAAAACTGAACACAGTATTTCCCTCAGAAGATTTTCCTTCAATATTCTTGTATAAAAAATTCTAGCATGTGCTGCTTGAATTTTACCCCATAGATTAAAACACAATTTGCTATGCTTACTAAGTATCTTAAGAAGGTATTATTAAATTTAAATCACATGCTCTCTCTAAAGAGGGGAATTTTCTAACCTTCTTATGTGTGATGGAGGTCTCTGTGTGTGTAGAATTGGGTTGCTGTATATTTAAAAGGAATAGTATGAAGATGAAGCAACTGTATGAGGAAAGAACAAATAAGGCATCTCTTTTCCCTATCAGGGTCACAGAGCATCTCGGCTATTCTTATTAAAAGCCAATGAGGCGCTAATAGACACTATTAAGCTCTGAAATACCTCAGCATTCTTTCATTCTCTAAAATTACCTAAATTTCCTGTTGCCTAGCTACACCCCTCTGGGTTGCCAGTGGGGGTGCTGTGGTCCAGAGGAACCAGCAGCCTTTTTGGTGGTGGTGGTAGTAATGGTGGTGTTGGCTTATTTGTTCACTCAGTTACTTGGTTATACTTTGTTCTGATGGGACCAGATCTGTGTGTATGTATGTCTCAGGCTGGCCTTGAGCTTGTGATGATTCTCCATCCTCCTAGCCTCGACTTCCATTGTACAGGGTGTGGGCTGCCACTCCCAACTTCTGCTAGCCTATCCTATGTCTTGCCTACATAAGCCTTTCCACATTCCTCTGAAGTAAAAGTGCATTCAGTTTTCTCTGCCATAACCTTACATCCCTGTCCTCTTCCAATCCAGGACTTCACTGTTAACTTTCCTGCTTTGAAAGTTTCCTCTCTTTAACCCTCTCCTCTCATTCTGAGTGTACTGCTTGCTATCTCGCCGCCTACTCCATCCCCACCCCAGCCCCACCCTCTGCCCTGCTGTTTAATGTGGTTTAACTCCCAATTCCGGATTCCCATTCACACCGTATCCCCCCCTGCATCTGGGCTTGTTCTAGGTTGCTCCATTCACCTGCCTCTCGAGCTTCCTGCTGGGATAGCATATTATGGGCTTTTCTGAGACTCAAATAGACAATGTATGTTAAGTGTCTGGGACAGGCCGTTTTCAAGCTAATCCTATCCTCACCCTATTAATTGATTCGCCCACTATGTATATTCTGAGAACTGTCAAATCTGTTTAGCCATCATCTACTAAATAAATTTCTTCCTGGATATTACTGTATTTTCCTGTGTTTCTTGTGATCTGTGAATTATCAACTATATTATTTCAGGCAGTGTATGAAAAATATAATATATAAAGGCATATGCAAAATTAAAACAAACCATTCTGTCCTTTTTATATCAGTTATCCTATTTATCTTCTGTTGTTTTCTCATTTTTTAAAGAATTAATTATTTTATGTATATGAATACACTGTAGTTGTCTTCAGACACACCAGTAGCAGATTCCATTACAGGTGGTTGTGAGCCACCATGTGGTTGTTGGGAATTGAACTCCAGACCTCTGGAAGAGCAGTGAGTGCCCTTAACCTCTGAGCCATCTCTCCAGCACCCTTGTGTTGTTTTCATATTGTCCCATAACTTTAACGACCAGTTTTCTTTAGTGGAGCTCCAAAGGAGCTCTTGACATTATTTGTGATTTCCATTTCTGCAGCTGCCTGTACAAGACTTCAGCCCAATTCCAAACAAAAGCAAGATGAACAAACCAAACAGTTAAAAATCCCCTTACACCCTTAAGATGTTCTCTCATCTCTGTCTCTTCCATTCCTCCTCCATCCCCCTCCTCCCTCTTTATCTTTCTAGATGTTTTTCCCATTGAGTCAGTCATTCCAGCCTAGCACAGCATTTAAGGCTTTTAGGTCTCCTCCCTTTGCACACCTTTTCCTCAGTCCCTGAACACACCTTCTTTTCTACTTATGTCTATTTGAGATTCCTTGGATTTGTCTTAAGGTCACAGCACAGGTCTGATACCTTCTGTTATTTTACAAAATGGCAAGCGTTTCTCATTCTTGTAAGTCTGGCTGCTCCCCCTCCAAATCTGTCCTCTGCTGCCTGGGAAAACCCACGCAACTGTTTTTTGTTGTTGTTGTTGTTCTTTATTTATGTTATTATTTATTTGTTTGAAAATATAATTACATCATTTCTCCTTCCCTTTCTCCCTTGAAATCCTCCCATAGACCCCTCCTTGCTCTCTTGCAAATTCATGCCCTCTTTTTCTATTAATTGTTATGAATATACATATATTCCTGAGTACATAAATATGCCCTGCTTAGTCGATATAGAAAGTTACTTGTATGTATATTTTCAGGGCTGACATTTGGTACTGGATAAATTGTCACCGTGCTCTTCTCCAAGGAAGACTATTTCTCCTGCTCTCAGTATTCCTTGGCTTCCTGTATTTCTTTCCTTAGGACTTGATGAAGAGAACCATTTACAGTTAGGGAAATGCATTCAAATACCTGAACTTGCAGTTTCATTATGCTTAATGACTTATGAGCTCTTACATGGTCTTCAGTCCATGAAGGGATATGAACGCGACCTCCTAGACATGCACAAAGTCAAAGAAGACAGACTTTTAAAAAGTGAAGGCCTCTTATTGCTTTTTGTAACAACATAGCTTTTATGTTTATTGTAGAATGTTTTCAAAATCAAGATCCACTTTTTGGCAATGTAGAAAATATAAAAATGCCAATAATCTATGTAGTAATCATATTGAGAGATAGGTAGATAATCGTATTCAGAAGTTCAGTGGGGAAGGAGTGGTTGGAGGAAGAGAAAATGGCGGAATTATTTTATGATCTCAAAAAATAGAATAAAAGATAGGTACACAGAAAAGAGTCCCATAAGCCCTTATCTCTGCACATCTTCCCGTTTCTCCGAACGCTCCATCTGTTCGAGTTATTTTACAAGCTACTGCATCCACTGCAGTGTGCTTTCTACCCTGGTCATCTTTAACACAGATATGTGTGTTAAATGTATCTTATGAATGTATTTATCCTGTCCCCTAATGTTGCTGTTTGGATGGTGTCTGCCTTTTCAGGGAGTGAAGGATGTTGGAGTCTCATCTGAAGTTAAATCCTGAATGCAGTTCAGATCTGTGTCTGTCAAACAGATGTGTTCTGTTTCCCATCACCATGCCACTCTGTTGTTGTAGTACTCATTAGAGATGGTTATTTCTCTACAGCTCTCATTTTATATCCAAGGAGACCCATATATCCAAGTATTTGTTTTCCTCAAAGGTTTTACTACCTCAGCATCGCTCTGGCATGTTACTACAAGTCATACACAAGACACCCGTCTTAACTTTTTCTGGCAGTCATTCTCCCTTGACTGTGTTGGAGTCATGTTTCACTAAATATTCTCTTTCTGTATTTGCTTCTTCATCAGTTGCTTCTGACTCTTCCAAGGCATGTTCACATGTTCATGAAGTTCAGACTGCTTAAAGACCTTTGGTAGCTTCCCTTCTTCCTAGAAATAGAGGCAAATTTTCCTAGAAAAAGTAGTCGGGACACCCTGTTACCTGTCCTTCAGTAACATCATCCTTCCTACTGTCACTGCCTTCGCTGTCATCAAGAAGTTTCTTTCACCTCAGGCATGAACCCTGTTCTTGCTCACCCCAAGATCTTCGCATGCTGTAACCATCCTCCTAGAACGTCCCTAAGTCCCCCTCTTTTGACCTAATACCTATGTGTCTTTAGATTCCACAATGAATGTCAGATCCTCTTTCCATGCTTTGTCAGTATGGATATAGACACCCTGAGTTCCAAACACCCTTTGTCCTGGGGCCTCTAGAACTACACTATCTCCGAGCATGTGAGTGATTGATTGATTGTGTCTTCCAAGCTTGTTTGGACTATTTTATTCACCACGATTCAGAATGTAACACCAAAGTTCATACTTACATTGCTATCTAAAAAACACCTGTAAAGTTTGGTAACCTGACACAACTATTTTATAATGTTCACAAGTCAGAGATTCTGAAAATATTCGTATGGCTACTCCATCTCAGCTCAGCTGTTGGAGCTGAAACTCTCCTGTCAAGTGACTTGGTTCTCAACTCACATCCATGATGTTCTAGGCCTCGGTGGTCCCTCTGTCTTGCCACTTACTCTCAGCTTCCCACACACCACAGACTTTTCACCCCACATACCAGGCTTCTTATAGCATAGAGCCTCAGGAAACTAGTACTTCTTAGGTGGTAACTAGCTCAAGTCAGGGCAAGAAAGTGGTCAGACCAAGAAAGAACCATATTCAGAACTGAGGCATTTCCTTAACTTCTGTGTGATGGTTTGTATA